TGGAGGTGGTGGAAGTGATGGTGTTGGGGTGATGGTAGTGATGATGGTGGAGGTGGTGGAAGTGATGGTGGTGGTGGTGGTGATGGTGATGAGGATGATGGTAAAACCTGGTCAGGAACCTCCACAGTGAAGTTCCAAGAAGGCAGAGATTTCTGTTCTTTCCTCCCTGTAGCCCCGGGACCCGGAGACGGGCCTGCATGTAGTAGGTTCTCATTCAACATGTATTGAGCGAGTGAACTCCAGATACTCTGCCTTCCGGAAACAAACCAAAATATAGTCCCTAAGGGCCACGGGGGCCTCCTATGCCCCGTATTCTTTGGCCATTATTCAACCTTCCGTCCTCCCATTCACCGTCTCAAAAACTATATCATTGAATCATGAGACAAACCCAAATTGAAGAACATTGTATAAAATGACCAGCCTGTAATCTTCAAAATTATCAGTCCTGTAAAAGAAAAAGGCCAAGGAACTGTCCCAAAGCAAAGGATATTAGAAAGAGAAATGATGATTAAATGCAGTGAGTGACCCTCGATTGGATCCTCCCCCAGAAAAGTGACGTTAGTGGGACAATTGGCGAAATTTGAATCAAGTCTGTGCATTAGATGGTGGTACTGTGTTAATGCTAAGCTTCCTGATTTTTGATGGTACTGTGGTTATAGTTATTCTGGTTCTTAGGAAACACACAGTGGAGTGTTTAGGGTAAAGGAGCATGACCCTGCTAACTTACTATGCCGATGGTTTAGAGAAAAGCATGGTATGTATATGGAGAAGGAGGAGTCTTGAGGCAAATGGGGCAAAACGTAACGATTAGTGAACCTGGCTAAAGACTACATGGAAGCTCTTTGTACTGTTCTTGCAACTTTTCCATGAGTTTGAAACCGTTTTAAAAGTACAGCTGAGACACATGTATATTTAAGGTCAAGAACGGCTGTGGCCAGATGATGCTCTAGGTGAGGGGCACGGTGCTGACTGGGACAGACAGGCCCGACTTTTGCAGAGCTTGCAGTGCAGGGGCTGAGATGAACACCCACAGGAGGATGAGGAGCTTTATGGGGAGCAGGCCCCCCACAGACCCAGCCAAGCCCCGGGGCTATGACCTGACTTCTCTTTTTCTCACTGCCTGCCTGTCCAAGGTCCGCGAGCTCCTGGACACGGGACATCTGGAGTTCGTCCTCGGAGGCCAGGTCATGCATGACGAGGCCGTGACCCACGTTGACGACCAGATCCTACAGCTCACAGGTTCGGCCATACAACGCTACCCTCAGGGTCCCCCTGGGACCCCAGCTGGCCTGGGGCTGGGTGTCTGAAGACCCGGGTTCTGGCTCTGTCCGCCCTCGTAGTGGGCCACTGTGGTCAGTGAAAACAGTGATTCTCTGCCGCTGTCACACTCACTGCTGTGCGGGGATGGTTGTGTCAAGGGGTCGAGAGTGGGGGTTCTGGAGCCAGAGGCTGGGCGTGTCCTACTCTGCTGGTCCCAGCCCTGGGACCCTGAGCAAGGTGTATAACCTCTGGGTCTGTTTCCTCATTCGTAAAATGAGCCAGGTGGCAACACCCACCTGACAAGGCTGCTGTGAGGAGTAAATTGAGTTAATGCAGGTAAACCCTCTGAGCAGCGTGTGTGGTCCCAGTAAACGCACTTTCCCATCTCGCCGCCGTGTTACCTCAGAACACCTCAGAAGCATCGTTAATGGCCCTGTTTCACAGATGGGGAAACCAAGGCACAGAGCGATGCAAGGACTGGCATGCAGGAGTAGCAGAGCTCGAGCTCAAACCCAGGTTGGCCTGGCCGCTCTGTGCCTGCCGTGTGGTCCCAGGGAGGAGGGCGTGTGTGGGATTCTCGGGGAGGCCTTTTCAAACCACACATTCCCATGTCCCCGGAGATCTCGCTGTGCACCACGCGCAGTGGGCAAGGCGGTCTCAGGTGTGTGGGGCGAGTCATGCTGGACTTCGGGGTCCCTGGTTGAACCTGCCGAGAGTTGGGCCCTAGACGGGAGAAAGAAGGTGGTCTGCAGGCAGGGACCAGGGTGGGTAGGCTTAGGGCCGGGCCTCGAGGCCGCTGACCTTCCCCTGGGCACATCTCCTCCCCTAGCACCCCACTGGCTGCCCACCGTCCCGAGCACCCCACTGGCTGCCCACTGTCCCCAGCACCCCCAGCTGCCCACCATCCCCAGCACAGCCCAGCTGCCCACCCTAAGCACCCCCCAGCTGCCCACGTCCCCAGGATACCCCAGCTGCCCACTATCCCCAGCACCCCCCAACTGCCCATGTCCCCAGGACCCCCAGCTGCCCACTGTCCCCAGCACCCCCAGCTGCCCGCCGTCCCCAGCACCCCCCCAGCGCCCACCGTCCCCAGCACCCCCCAGCTGCCCACTCTCCTCAGCACCCCCCAGCTGCCCACTGTCCCCAGCACCCCCCAGCTGCCCACCCCAGCACCTCCTAGCTGCCCACTGTCCCCAGCACCCCCCAGCTGCCCACCCCAGCACCTCCTAGCTGCCCACTGTCCCCAGCACCCCCCAGCTGCCCACCCCAGCACCTCCTAGCTGCCCATGTCCCCAAGACCCCCCAGCTCCCCACTGTCCTCAGCACCCCCGAGCTGTCCGCTGTCCCCAGCACCCCTTCTGGCTTCCCCCATCCCCAGCACCCCGTCTGGCTGCCCACCACTGGCCGGGGGGCCGTCAGGCCTGCCAAGGGGCTCACCGTTCTCCCCTCCCCTCCCCACCACCTGTTCTCTGCAGGCTCGTCAACACCCACCGTAATTTTAGACCTGACATTTCTCAAGCGGGAAAAGTGTTTGTTCTCAGCACCTCCAGGATTATGAGGAGCCGATGTGGGCAGCTGTCCTGGGGTGGGGGCTTCCACCCCCACCCTGAGCTGCAAGTCTCAGCAAGGCCTGGGAGACCTACCTGCCCCACCTCATCCTGGAGCAGGAGGGAGCCCAGCTTGGGCCTAAGAAGCGATGGGACCCTGTGAGCAGGAGTGGAGACAAGGGGAGGGTCCGGGCCGAGAGAAGGGACACCAACTTTCAGCCCTGCCTCAGCGGCCCTCACTTGGGCTGTCCTAGGCGTCACTGCTGTCCTGGGTGTCACTGCTGTTCTGGGTGTCACTGCTGCCCTGGGCGTCACTGCTGCCCTGGGCTCACTGCTGTCCTGGGCGTCACTGCTGTGCTGGGCTCACTGCTGTCCTGGGCGTCACTGCTGTGCTGGGCTC